ATAGCGAAGTAATACCACCAAATATAACAGGGGACATTTTTTTTGGGATACCCTGTAAAACAAAAACATATTTGTCAGTATACCTGCACATTTGTAACAGTAAGAACAACTTTGTAACTCTTTCTCGACAGGCTGGTTTCGCATTACATTACAACTCAATTTTCCTAATGTAAATATCTTGGCGAGTATTTACCCCCCTTTTAAATAAAAGTCACCATTGAAATCCTCACAAATAACCTTTCAAACGGGGGGGGGGGATCAAGTGCCATCAAAACATTACACAAACCGAAACAATCATATATTTACTCACCGTTTGGCCAAAGAGTCTAAATTTCATATCCAGAAAATCGTGAATATCTTGAAGTCTTCGGAATTCCCAACAAGTCAATCGGAGTGAAATACTCCTTGTATTCAAGCGTTTTCATGTACAAAATTTAATTTAGAAATACAGTAGAAATATTTATTTTGAATTTTTCAAGATGTCAGGTTTTACTCGCACCCAGGTACATTGTGCAATAATTGGCCAATAAGAAGCTCATGTGGCCGGGATGACATTAAACTCACGCGTGTAGGTGCAATTTGATCTTCCGAATCCATTTCTGGCATTTGGAGGGTCATATGATACAAATGTCGCATTATTTTGATATTTTTTACTCGTATTTCCGGTTAAGATTAGCTCACTTCGAACTCACAGTCAGACAAGAAATGGAAATACTGTGATAAGAGATGCAAATTTGAAGATACAGGCTTGCAAATAACAAACGAATTTGAACAAGACTATTACAAAGACGATATGTTCGAAGGGGCCGAAGTTATTTTCAGCAAAAGGTATGGCTAGTCTATTTTTGTTTAGACAATTGTGTAATTTGATAGTACATGATCTTGTTTGACTTTCAAAGGCCCATAAATTGCTACAATGTTGATAATCACTATAACTATAGTTTGGAATTAGTATATCTTTTATTTCTGAATCGAATGGTGGTATTTCTGTCTTCATAGCATGCACTGAACCGAAGATATTAAAATATGAGCTGTCATTCTCTTGGCAACAATGCTACTGGGGATGTGTCGATAAAGAGTTAAAACGTTTGTAGTCGTACCTTTATAGCCATTCAATTCTTAAATTCTCCCATCTTGGCATGTAGAACATAAGAATAGTCTCGACTACTTTTGGAATGGCGAATGTTGTTGACAAACACATACGCTCTGTCTTCACTGACTCAAATTGACCAGTTATTTGAAGGCATATTTCAAATAAAATGTACGGTTTGTTGTTTACTACAAGAACAAATCAAGCTAACTTTAACACAAACTTCTGCAGTTCTGGCTTCTTTGGCAAAGCTGATCTATAAATTTTAAACTGCTTATAGCATGGCCTGAGTATATCCTGGCGAGGTGATAGCATTTCATATGAGGTGATAGGGTCATATGAAGTGATAGTCTCTGCGGCTCAGCAAAACAGGGTTCAAGATAACTGAGGAATTTTTCATTGTTTAACAGCTTCAATCAATCAAGACTCAACCAATCAAATACGGTGATACTAATTACCAACAAGAACCGAGATGATGTTTGAAAACTTAGAAAGCTATAGGGTGTAAGCTGGTCTCGCAGTTATTGAAAACGGTTGTCATGTAACTGATGAGTTAAAGCAGCTTGCTGTATTGTCCAAAGTATTTTTAAGAAAGCACCAAAAGGGCATAATCTATTGATGTCCTCGCCTTGTGGGATCAGGTTTTCATTGTCGTTGACCTCTATTATTCTACATATTTATTGACTTTTGGTCTAGTGGCCTAGTGGACGTAGAGAGTGCATACAATCGCTTTCAGGACATGATGCGTGGGTTCAAACTGCAGTAAACATATTTTTAAATTTTAGTTAATCTTTCCCGTTCTTTACTTTTTAGATTTAGTTTAAAATGTTGTATCACATTAAATAAGCCCAATACCCATTAGAAGGAATAAGTTTCAATTGGGCAAGGGTTTGATATAGAGTCCGACAAGTTTATTTAGGCTATCATAATCTCTCTGATTTATGATTAAGATCAAGTTTAGGGCTAGTTATTGTTAGAATCACGAAAATTGAGCGTGCTTAAAAATGCTATCAAAGTTTCTGTGTTAAATGTGGCATCTTGCGTAGCCGTAGGCGATGTGCGACTAAAGCAATATTACAGTTCATTTGCATGTTGTGTTTATTTTACACATGTTGTGTTTATATTTTACACTTGGCTCAAATCATACTGTGAGTGCAGAAACTATTACATTTTCATCTTGTGATTTCATGTTTTCAAACCTGTTTCACAATTACAACTTTTACAATGATTATTGTATATAAGTATAGATAAACTGAAACTATGAGTTAGTTTCACAGGTGAAATTCGGCATCAGCCCAATCAGATTTATGCACAGGCTGTTGAAATGTGTCATCATGCAGTGACCTCCCTATTGGATAACCATTTCATATGGTTTCTTAGACTGTGATAGCAGACTGATCTCAGCTGACCCCCTTGGAGAAACAGTCTGTGATCAATCAACACTAATGCCGTACACTTACATAAAATGCCATACACTTACATAAGCAGCATTTTGCATAATTTCATTTAAAATTATTAAAAAAATGTCATGTCCAAGATGGCGAACGCAGAGCAACTCTGAATTATTATATATAACAATGTGATTTATGCAATTTTCGGCATGATCATAAAGGAAAATTTCAACCAATCATATTCCGCCCCCCGTTGTGGGGGCAACTGTATGCCATTAGTGTTGATTGATTGCAGACTGTTTCTCCGCCGCTCCAGGGGAGAGTCGGCTCAGATCAGACTGCTATCGCAGATTAAGACACCATATGATGTTATCCAATAGGGAGGTCACTGCATGATGACACATTTCAACAGCCTGCACATAAATCTGATTGTCTGACTCCAAATTTCACCTGTGAAACTAACTCCTAGTTTTAGTTTATCTATACCTATATACAATAATCATGGTAAGAGTTGTAATTGTGAAACAGGTTTGATATTAGCATATGTTAACAACAACATACCAACTGAACAAATAGTAAATCTTCAGGTTGAAGATAAGGTTATAAAGGTTACTTCATACATCGCCACAAACAGCTGAACCATAAAGCTGCATAATCACATTTGCCTTATGTTACCCAGAATTTTGCAAGAATGCAACGAAAGAGCCATATTACAGCAGGCTTGGACAGTTTACTTAAAGACCGGCTGTCTTCCGGTATTGTGATATCAGGAATGTTCAACCATTTAGACCCCTGCCAGATTTGTCAGAGGTTTGGTCTTCGTAAAGTTGTTAAAGCCCCGATTCACGGCAATAATCCGTGCAAACGCTTCTTAGAAGCACCTAGAACACACATACAAAACTTGAGGAAAACGAATGAAATATGGGCACCTCTATCATGCACTAATCACCACCAGTCTTTGTTTATAGCCAGAGGGGCCAGACTTTATAACAAGTTATGAAATTAATGTTGCAGACTATCGTTGTATAGAACTTTATTATATATTTTATATTAACTTCTAGAACCTTTTAAATTTCATGTAATATTTTTAACTCTTGAAATGTGTAATACTGCTGTAATTCTATGTTTGCCAAGAGCAGTAATTAAATCTATTACTACTGCTATATGCGAAGATTGAATATGCGAAAATAACCCATATTAATGTAAATTAATGCTAATAAATGAATGCATTACACTGCTGCATGCCTATAAATACCGAGTTTGGCCATAGTGCTAGCTTCTGTGCGGTGGAGATCTCTAACGAATTGGCTGTCATTCGACCCACACAAACTGAGATAGCCTCAGTTTGTCAGTTATTCAATCTATTTCATGTCTGAAGCAGACAGTGTACAGTTTCCAAACACACTACACCAGCAAACCAATCAAGTTAATGATCAATATCCACTGCAAGTTCTGCCTTATTAAGGTGGCGTTGTAGCGTTGGTGGAACTTCCCGAACTAGCTCCAAATGAACATTCAGCGGCCGAGCTAGGGTAACTATGTCCTCTTGATCGTTTTGGTACCCAGGATCGACTGTTTGTAAGCTTGCCCTTTTAGACCAAAGTCTTGTTTTCCTTTTCTTGCCCCATGGGGATTCTTTTCACCTGGCGATTGTAATACTATTTTGTTGGTTAGTGTGTAGTGTTGCATAACATCTCATTGTGTCATTCTTGTGTGCTGTAGTTAAAATCCAGGACACCCTGCTTTATCTGTCCACTTGAAAGCTGTATACTGGGTGGAGTTCATTAGTTAAATCTTTCGTTGGCCCCTGGTATTTCTTTAATCTTGTGTCTCCCTCTACATACTCTATAGAAATACAGCTGTTATTGTTTCTCCAGTCATACTATGAGGATATCTCTTTAATACTTTATGCATGATTTGTTGCCGGGTATACATCTATTACTTTATCTCTTAAATGCATGTATGCATCCTCTGTTTATAAGGATTACATTTCATGATGTTTAACTCTGCTGTTAAACCCTGTGTAGTTATTTGACTTGCCCAACCTCGTACCCAGGGCATTTCGCTTCCCCCTCAGCGAAAATGGCCCTGGCATCGGGTGGTCATGTGACTTCAAAATCTCCAGTATTTGGGGTGTTCAATTATGATAATTTATGCATATAATATATACATTTTTAATTTCAACATGGCAGAATCCCGAATTGATGTAGCTTTAAATAACGCTGGAATACCGGACATTATTCTTAATTCAGAGCAGGTTAAGTGTTTTGAATACATTCTTCAAGGATACGATGTGATAGCTGTACTTCCTACGGGATTTGGGAAGTCTTTGCTCTACCAATTGCTGCCAGATATATTGCCCATGAAAACCACTCAAAACATTGTTATCGTGGTATGCCGTCTTACTTCCATTATTGAAGATCAACTTAAAGTCTTGAACAACATGGGCATAAATGCCGGTATATTTCATTCAAAAAGGGAGCATAAAGGTGATACGTTGTTCAACCATGTGAAAGCGAATGGTGCCAGACTATGGACAATGCAAAATATTATTCGCACATCCAGAGGATATCCTTTCAGATATTGGTAGAAAGTTGATCAAATCCGATGTATTTCAAAAGAACGTTGTCGCTTGTGTGATTGACGAGGCGCATTGTGTTGAAATGTGGTAAGTACATTATTATTGAAGGTTTCACGGTATAAACAGTCACCATTTTGCAAGTAGGGCAAACTGAGTCAACTGACACATGAATGGATCAAGGACAAACGCAATGTGATTTCCCAAGAGTATTGATCATATGCATTTTATAGTCATTGTGTTTGTCCTACTTGCAAAATAGTGGTTGTTACCATGAGACCTTTTATTTTGATAAGTTCACAATAAAATATACAGAACTTTGTTACACATTGTCAGGTAGTTCAAGTTTTATTTTTCTAATCATTGGGTCATTCCAGAAAACATCCATACCTCCCCCACAGAGGAAATTCCTTTGTGGGGGGAGTGTGAACCTTTTCTGGAATGACCCAATTTATATAGTATGAACTAGGTTGTTTTATTTCTGATAAAAAATAAAGTTATGAGCTTGCTGAAAAGTGATAACAAACTAGATACATTGATACAACTAGTCATGTTGAATACAACTTGCAGCAAGCCGTCAGGTGTTTAAGGCCAGGGTCAGGGTTTTTATGCACTGAACCTAATGCAAATTAAGTGAATCAAATAACTTACAGTAGCTCTGATTAACATTAGGTTCGGCACGTGAAAAGTTCAATGTTTGACCCTGGCCTAACTTGTCTTAACCAATTTACTTGCATTACTCACAGTACTGGAGTAAAATTGCCTGGCGTTAGACAGAGTAAATACTAAACAGGATGCATTGCCAGTAAATGAGTTAAAACAGATGGTTGTACTATATATATGCAGTGCTCAAATGGCTAGTATTAAGTTAAAAACTGTTTTGTTTTGTTTGCAATATTTCTTGACTATTTTTGTATTAATTTTGACTTTTAGGGGAAATGATTTTAGAAAGGATTTCAAAGGACTGGACTGTCTCAAAGCATTCTTTCCATCAAGCCCAACATTGACCCTTTCAGCTAGTGCACCACCTCAACTTATCATGAAGTTGAAAGAAAGTCTATGCCTGAGCAAGGGCTGTAAGATTGTCAGTAAAAATCCGAACAGAGAGAATATATTTCTAGATCGGCAAAAACTTGCAAGTAACAACTATGGATATATATTAAGGCCAATTGCTGAATCGTTACTAAGAATGAATGTACTTTATCCACTCACTATAATATACATGAACTTGAAATACTGTGGTTATGCTTATGCTTTATTCGATCAAATTTTAAAAGAAAACCAGTACAAGGGAGTTGAAAATATTCCTAAAGCCCGCTTGTTTGCCCAATTTCACTCTCAGCAGACCAAGAGAATGAAGGAGGAAATTATTGCAGAAATTACAAAAGAGAACTCTACAATCCGTGTAGTATTTGCAACAACAGCATTAGGAATGGGTGTAAACGCTCCTCATGTTAACCATGTGATTCATATTGGGCTCCTTCAAATTTGGAATCCTATTTGCAAGAAATAGGATGAGCTGGCCGTTGTTGGACAGCCAGCTGTGGCAACACTATATTATAATAACTCGGATGTGGCCAGTAACAAAACCCACATTGATGACACAATGAAAATTGGCCTCATCTCGTGCATTGGCTCGGGAGTCATCTTCTTCAATTTGTCCTTCTCTTCCTCAAGGTCGCCTTTCCTTTCAGCATCCAGGAAGGTTTGATACATCTCTTCAACATAGCCTGATCAGAGAATGTAATTTATTATATATACCGAAACTGTTGATTTAAAAATATTTACTGCTATTTGCTCATAAAAATTATTAGGCTGTGGGCTGTTGTGCGAAAAAGTGCCTAGAAAAGCAATTTCGCGTGGCACCCCCTTGGGAAATAGATTTTCTGTGCTTCACTTCATAGAACCATAGATGCTTAATTACCACAAAAAGTTCCCAAGCTAAAAACTTGCCCAACACCGAGAAAATGGGTGATCAGTGATTATCCTCTATTAAATTGTATTACAGCAAGAAAATGTGAAATTTTGTATTCAATTACAACAAAAATGACTTGCATCATCAGAAAGCTTACAAAAACCTACATATAAGACATTTAAACAGTTTTTTTATATCTAAAATTGTTTTCGAGTTATACGCTGTCAAAAACACGTTTTTGACCTAGTACCCAGTCCTTGTTGCAACATTTTGGTCCAATTTTTACATTTAAAATAGCAATAACTTAAAGACTATTTGAAGAATTGAATTATAAAATTTCCCATATTTTGCTGTAATACAATTTAATGGAGGATAATCATTGATCACCCGTTTTCTCTGTATTGGGCAACTTTTTGCTTGGGAACTTTTTTTTGGTAGTGATGTACCTATATGCCTTTCAAATAAACCCCAAACCAAGTATTTCCCACATGGGTGCCACAAAGCGAAATAATTTTGGCCAACAGCCCACAGCCTATATCTGGATTACTGTACATAAAAAAATCTACCAGCTGTCAAAAACTTTTGCAATTTGAGTATAAATGCTCTCCCTTCATCAATTAAAAATATGACCTCCAGAACCACATACTTACAAAAGTTTGCAGCAACTTTTACATCCCGGACGGTAGCTTCACCCTTCTTGAATTTGGGGTAGACCACTACAAGCTGCTCTGAACCATCTGAATTTGTTACCACTTTCCTGTTCAGGTTATGGTTAAAGTGAACTGCTGCAATAATGTGCCTAATATTAAGAAAGTGTGAATATATATTAAATATTTAAATATGAGCTTTAAAATGTAAACTAAAGATTTAGTGTAGCCATTGCCATATTTATACTAGGATATAGGTATATCCACACCTCACAGACAATAGACCATATGCATAATGACGTCATAAAGCTCGATTCCCGCAAGGAATGCGGGTCTTAGTAATCATCGCCCGGGAAAATTTTGCTATTGGTCATTTTGATTGTTTAATTTTTCTTGGGTGATGAAAACTAAGACCAGCATTGGGTCGTTCCAGAAAAGATCCACACTCCCCCCACAGAGGAAATTTCTGCCGTCCGGAGGGGGAGGGGAGACGAAATTGTTTCTGATAATAGTAAATGTATTAGGACATCCGAAGGGGGTAGGGGGGTTAACTTCCAATTTCCTCTGTGGGGGTGGTATGGATATTTTCTGGAATGACCCATTCCATGTGGGCATCAATCCTTGTGACATCATTATACATTGTAAGGTTTATTAGTGGCAATTAGCACAGGGCAGCCGGGATAATTCACAGGCCATGGACAAAATATTTTCTGTGGGCCCCTAATACTATACTAACTACCTTCTAAATATTTGGTTTTCTCACTATTCGGGGGCCTGGGGCAAATTGACCACCCCCCCTGGCACCACTGCAATAACTTTTTATGTGTGAATATGATATATATGCACAATTACGTAATATACATGCCAGGATAGGAATAAGCAATAATCTTTGGTGCAAACTGGTTCAACACTGAGTGAAACCCCTCAACACAGCTTGTTTGGGATAAGGGAGATGCTTTCTGGATTCCTTTCTTTAACCTCTTGTTTCCCAATGCCTTGCAAACGTTCTCATACACAACAGATTCTAAAATATACACAAATATTTTTGTTTTTATAATGTCAACACTCTGTGGTGACCAGTCTGTGTCTACAAAACCTGTTTCATGACAGAATGCGAACAGGCAATGTGGCGCAACCAAAATGTGCACCTAAATAGTTTGCACAGTGTCAGATATCATCAATATTATCAGAACAATTACTTACTGTCATTAAGCCACTCCCTGTGTTCAATGTCACCATGTGCACAGCTGTCAAAAATAGGGTCATCAAGGTTTTTGTGTTTGTCAACAATATGGCCAAGAAAGGACACAAATTTAGCCAATATGACTCTTCCATCACCAGATGAAGTTGAGATAGCACTCCAGGATAGATGGTTCTCACAGGGGCGGATCCAGGGTTGGACCTCCTCACAGTCATTTTCTTTTCCAATTTTTGATAGCACTTTTCGAATTTCTATGATTAATAAATGATATTAAATTTATCACAAGTATCGATTAACCACTGAGAAGGTACAGTAGAATCGGCGCATGTAAGGTAATCCATGCACTCATTGAATTCTGGATTCCACTCTTTGGATTCTAGATTCCAGTACTTGAATTTCGGATTCCAGAATGGTTGTGCATTCTGAATTCCAGGAAATTGGCCGAGGATAATGATTCCGGATTCCTTCGATGTTTGGATTCTGGATTGCAAAGCTATTAAAAGTCACATTCTGGATTACTGTACATGGGGGAAATAGAAAGATAACATATTTTGCAACATACTTTTTCTCAAGTGCCAAAGGTCAAACTAGTGCTTCACTTCTTTAAGCTTTTCCCTCATATGTTTCGCTGTGGAAGTATGGCGGTCAGTGACAAGTGTGTCATATGTTATTCCACAATTATTAATATATTCCATACAATGCTGAAATGCCATATACTCCATTGCCTGACTACTTCCTGCTTCGTTCCTCTAATGTGAACACAAAACATTGAAATTATGTTATGAAAAACCCCGAATGAAAACAAGAAATATTTATTTTCAAACCTGCACTAAATTGAAGTGTAATATACATGGAGATGTGCAGCAGAATATTGTGTAAGCACAATACTTTGCACTATGCCCCATGCTATCGTGCCTTCCATCTCCTGCCATAACCAGTGGTTCTTTGTTTTGTTTAAGTTTGTCAACTAGCTGGCTTTGGTAGTTTTTCCAGTGCAGTCAAATGGCTGGAAACAGCTTATTCTAAAACAGTTTATGAAAAAACAATATGTTGTATGAATCACCATTCAAGGGAACTGATCTGTTTGACAAATGATGAGAACATATACAGGGCTTCAAATTTGCAGTATCCCAATATCCACTAATCTCGGTCTACTGGAAATCACAAGTTCAGTATCCAATGGGATGTTGAATGTTATTGTGTCTTCAAATTATATTTTACAGTAATTATATTATCAAATTGCTGTGTTTCTGCTATTTAATCTGCTCACAATACTAGAATTATCCAAAATGTGGGATAAGCCCTGACATAACGTAATAATTAGCCAATATGGCACACTAAAAGCAACATTGGTCATTAGTTGTCACGTAATCATTAGTTGTCACTCACAGAAAAAACTCATTCTCATTCAGGTTCACTTGTTGCAGTACTAAGACCACTGTTCAGAATAACAGATCTTTCTGTACGAGGGTGCAATTCGACTCAATGGGTTAAAAGGTGTAGTCCTGTTTGTAGGACCAACTCACCTTCTGATGCCTGAAGAAAGTGCTTAGTGAAATGCATGCCACTCCCATATGCCTAAGGACACATTGAACTTTACTGATTGATGCACCAGCCAATAAAGTCGCAAAACTTAACAGAAAGTTCCCTGCTGCAATTTTGGTACCCTCCATGTTAGGTTGACTGCGCCACACAGAATTGCTTTGCTTACAGTTGGGATTACCACAGTGAGTATACACAATAACCTTTGTCCCATGTTGGCTGGTCTCAACTAGAGGATTGGCACTTTTGCAGGATGGACAAAACTGAAAACGGAGCATCAGCTGTGACAGAAACACGATGTACTTTGGTTCTGTCCTCAGGTTGTTATCCTTTGTATATTCTCTGGAATTTAGAAATACACTTGTGTTGATTAACCAATCATTAATCATACTAAACATTTACAGTATACACATGTGGTTGGCATCTTAAATATTGACTAATTTTACCTCCTTTGTTCATCATTATCACTTTCATCTGAGTCCTCTGTCTCTGTCAAATCATCCCATTGAACTGCATCATCGGATGCAGTGTTTGGATCAGTTGACACACCACCTTCTTCACTAGCCACACTACTAATATCTTCTGATGATAGGGGTGCTTCTGTGTCACTAGACTGCACAGTTTCCACAGGAATTTGAAGGTCTGATTGAAAAATACAAGATAAAATTATATATAAAATCATGAAATCATATACACCCTTTTCATAAATGGCTGCCGATTAAAAATTCTTTTATGTGCATATAAATTGGCCCAACTAGCCTCATACTCATGTTAAGATTTCAAAGGAATTTCTACCCAGAAACGAGGTTAGTTGGGCCAATTTATATGCACATAAAAGAATTTTTAATTGGCAGCCATTTATGAAAAGGGTGTATGATACCCATAAAAATATGCTTATATTGGGCAACTTGGGCTTATGTTTTCAATTTGATAATAAGCTCAATAATCTCTGTCCTTGTTTGTAATAGTTCAACAATTAGCTATTACAGCGATAGTGCGATAATATACTTCCAATTAAATGTATATTCGTAGTGCAAATACTTGCTCATGTATGACTGTCGACACTTTTCTTGTCAACAGCTCTGAAATAATTTTACAACTGAGGTCGGTCATATAAAATATGGTATAAATTTTCACGGTATACACAAAACACAAAATAACACTAAACTACTTACTAGATTGTAAATCCTTCACAATGGACTTCTCTTTAGCTAGTCTTTGTTTTAAGTCTATGACTTGATTGCGAAGAATGGGTTTTATAAATATTGGTTATAAATGGGTTTTGTAAATATTTACTCACCATGCGTTTGATTGCTCTGCCTGAAACCTGTTTTTCCGTCACATCCATACGAAATATAGATGGAAACGATGCAATTCCTAGGTCATCCTTCTTTAGCTTTTGTCTATACATATTCTCTTGTCCGGGCAAATTCAACATTTTGTCAAATGTGTCCGCTTTAAAATGCTTAGAGCATATATGCCTTCCACTGCCTGGCTCCCACTTCGCATGTTTGCTCTTCACGAAATCTACCCAGACCTTTCGTCTTTTTATAGCCTCCGGCCTTGAATCGTTATAGAAAGGTATTTTATGAAGACTAATACCTTTCTCGGGGTCTGGGAGGTTGGAACAGCCGTATACAACGCAGCGAGAAGGCATGTTGTTTTGCTATAAACACATGTTATGAAATATTTTGGTTACTTCTTTGACGTCACAGCGGCAATTCGTACTCAGACCCTTTTCTCCCGGCCACGTTTTAAGAAACTCTATTTTTTGGCATGTTTGAGCTAAAATATCTCTGGAAGTATTTATCTGTTGCAGGCAAGACGTATATCATTCGAATTGTCTCGCCACGGCCGATTTTTGAGGAAAAAATGGTAATTGTGACATAGGCACTTTAAGTACACTTTAAACTCATTAACTGGCAATGCACCCAAATGTGCAGTACTTAATTGTAGGATTTTACTCTGTCTAAAGCCAGAAAATTTTACTTGTCAGTGATAGAGCGACTGCCAGTAAATGAGCCAAATATTTTTGTATCGTCATTATACCTCTTAAGTTCAGCAGCATTTGGTGAAAACTTGTGTCTTGGACATTGTTTGATGTCACCAAGTGGAGAATCATTGGGAAGATGATTAAACTGGAGGCAATTTTTTATTAGATTTGTAGCGAATAGATGTAAGTCTTCATTTGCAATCCCTTTTCTCATGTGATCCTTAATAAACATTATAAATATATATATTAATACTGTAATATTCTATTAAATAATACTCGTAAAAATATATAATATTCTCAAAAAAATAAAATAAGTACCAGACATTTTACTTGTCAAAGGAAAAATCTTTAGTTTAGTGCATACAAGTGTCAGTTACACACAACTGCCTAATCAAGTAATGCCTACACTAGAAACAAATCATAATCCCATTTAACTTACTTTTAAAATTCGCATGTCATAATTATCACCGGTGCCACGAAATGTGCTTCCTGTCTTGGTCTTTCCAACAATCCGGTCCACAAATATACTATAACACATATATAATACATTGACGCGTGTTGTTCAGGATGGAACGATTCGAATTTCGAAATATTGATTGAAATGCACTACAACTGAATAACAGAATAAGTAATTATTTATAAAGCAATGATTTATAAATATAATCATGACAGCAGTCAGCGTCTCAGACTCTCAGTATGGTATGCCATATTGCCAAGTGCCAACTTCGGGTAAATAACTGAATTTGTGAGGGGCCTGAGGGCCAAACAGAGTGGTGAATCATGACCGAGTCAAATCCGAGTCCGAGTAAATTCCGAGCCCAAGTCAAATGCCTGAGTCAGTGGGGAGTCACGTAAAAAAGACGAAACTGAATAAAATTCACAGTCGAATATAGGGTTAACCCAAGACTCTATGAAATATGATGTAGCATATATTATAGTTCTAATATTCAATCACAGCCAATTTCCATGTTTCATTAAGAATCATAATCATCAAAACCATTCATCGGTCTATCATTTGTTGCCATTAATATTTATTATACAAATAGGATGGTTTGGTCAGAAAAATTCTGCCTTATTATTCGAACCATATATATTTGATAACATCTGCCTCATTCTAAACAGACAAACGGACTTTCTTACCCTGCAACTTAACTTTAGATAGACAAAGTCTGTACGGCAAACCATAACCAAGCCTACGTTTAGCACCACATATGGCTATACATAGGTTCTATAGGGTATATAACATACCTTTATTATACCAATTACACAATACTTTACAGTATTGGTCTGCCTCGCAGACACTGTGAACATCTAGGAAATCCATTAACCTAATGATACCCACATATAGAGGTCTTATACTTGCATTTCTGGGACTGGCCCGACTGGGGTTGGGTTAGATGTCTTAGATAGGACATAGCGGTTTGCGTGACGGAGTGAGTTCGTTATCACATGCGTACTGCACTTCACGGGATGGTCTCCTCGCAAGGCCATGTGAGTAATGTACATCATCAAATTATTCCTATCATTAAGGAATAATTTTAGATGACATGGACAGGACTGACAAAGAAAATACACAAAACACTGTACACAACACACTATAACCATGCTGTCCATGCATGTACCTGCTATACAATATTTCACAGTAAGGTCAAGTATACTTTCCAGAATTAAGATCTTAGAAACCAATAACTAAACAAGGCTTACAACAAAGTTGCACAACGCAAAATCCCAAACGCCTGTAGAGGTCCGATTACCTATCTTTAATATATAATATAACTGAAATACCTTCCTAGCCACCACCTGGTTGCTGTTTATACACATTTAATAACTGAAATATCTTCCTTGCTATACCACCTGGTTGCTGTTGAAAGACATTTAATAACCAAATGACCGTCCTTACCATAACCTGGTTGCTGACCCAACAAATCATGTTTGCAGCTTTTATATAGTCGTTTGAGGGTACTTGACAAATCAGTTAATAATTTAACAGTCTTTATTCAATACTCAGTCAAGAACACACGTCTGAGTTTACAATAGTTAAACATCGATTAGGTGTCTGCCTTCCATATATATATATATATGACCTATATATGATCACACATTGGCAATTTAAAAGATAACATATATTAGTAATTTAGTAAGGTAATGTAAATGGACCATGAGGTACTGTAAGTACAAATTTGAGATAATTTGTGGAATAGACATGTAGATGTATAGTGCACGAATATGTTATAGACAAGACTAGCAATATATAGTACTGTTTGGAGTGTTTGCAAGCATTAACAGGGCCCTTTTTAACTATATAACTTGGGAGCAAAAATCCCCCAGCCCCAATGACTCCACACCACCATTCAACCATTTTGGTCCCCAGTCAAAGTCTCTATTCTCTAAAATATCAGCAAAACATTGGACGAAAAATGGAATTTGGAAATAATATTTGATATTCTAGTAACTGAAATTTGCTTTGTGAATCTTATGTCCTGTCTTTTATCTTCAAAAAATTCAATGTCTATAAAAATGCTAAACATTGTGTCCTGAATACATTAGATTTTAAGCCAGTGCCTCATTGGATAGCATATCCCAGACCCAATAGATTTGAGTTGTTGGAAGACTAGACTAATTGGCGAAACAAGTTAGTGACCGAGTTGTAACTGAAGATTCTATAAGAATATATCTAAAGTACTGTATATAATGTAACGCTGTGCATCCAAAAATCTGTTCTGAAAATGCACCAAATGCAGTCCTAGGGGTGGAAAAATTCAAACATTTTCTGGGGGAGAATCCCCCCAGACCCTCCTACTATTACATACAATAGTGTGGTCCCTTTTTGCAGATTGCTTTCTCCCCACGGACAAATTCTTAAAAAAGGCTCTGGCAAGCAATGAATGTTGGTGAGCGTTTCGTATGGTGGTGTACATGAATGTAATGATTTAAATGTCCGTAATTTCGTAAGCAAATAAACTAACATAAAACATGAACTAATGTAATAAACAATTTTACTTTGTCACGTTTGGTGAAAACTGAAAACTATGAATTAAAACCGCACACGCTAATTCAGGGTGTAGGTAAAACATGGCCCTAGGCCCAGGCCATGGCCCAGTGTATGGCCCTACCCTTGGCCCACCTGTTTTTTGTTTAATTTTGATGTGTAAATTATGTCAAAATTATTTTAACGTGTTGAGTTCATATACGTTTCATATATATTATATAATATTGATTTGAGCTCATTTCTAAAATACGAAATAAGTTTTGACCAGTCACCTGTGCGTTTTACGATTAGTACATAATATGGACTATTACATAAAGTACAAACAACACATGATCACGTGAAAGAATCAATGTCGGCCGCATGGCGCACAACTGCATCATTTCATGGGGTGAGTTTTTATCGTTTCTTTTAGCTTTTTGCTATCAATACGAGCAGGTGCTTGTCTTGCAATTTAACGAATTTGCAGGTGCTTGTCTTGCAATTTATAAACGTTTGAATTTTAGAAAATCGTGTTTAAAATAAAAAATGAAGCGATCGAGGTGAGTTTGAAGAATTACATTTGGACGCTGTTTATTGAAAATATGTTGAAATATTTACACTTTACGAACTAGATAATTATGTTATTGATGATCGAAACCTTTTAAATACAAATAACACAGGATTTACAGACTTGAAAACAAGTCAAAAAGTTCCCAATGTTGCAAAATTATGCGGATTCCGAATATTGGGAATTATCTAGTCTGTAAAGTGTAAATATGTAAATATTTCAACATATAAACAGCGTCCAAATGTAATTCTTCAAACTCGCCTCGGTCGCTTCATTTTTTGATTTTAAACACGATTTTCTAAAATTCAAACGTTTATAAACGTTAGAGAGTTCTCAACATTAAATTGCAAGACAAGCATCTGCTCGTATTGATAGCAAAAAGCTACAAGAAACGATAAAAACTCACCCCATGAAACGATGCAGTTGTGCGCCATTCGGCCGACATTGATTCTCTCACGTGATCATGTGTTGTTTGGTTGTTCGTACTTTATGTAATAGTCCATATTATGTACTAATCGTAAAACGCTCTGGTGACTGGTCAAAACTTATTTCGTATCTTAGAAATGAGCTAAAATCAATATTTTATAATATATATGAAACGTATATGAACTCAACACGTTAAAATAATTTTGACATAATTTACACATCAAAATTAAACAAAAAACAGGTGGGCCAAGGGTAGGGCCATACACTGGGCCATGGCCTGGGCCATGGCCTAGGGCCATGTTTTACCTACACCCCGCTAATTCAGATACCAAACGCGCAGATTCGAAAACTGGGCGCGCAAAAATCCAGAAAATGTTGATCTCGGTCGCGCAATTTGCAAACTTTCCAGTCTGGTCCACAAGCAGTCTAGCTAATGTCTATAGTTGGGTCTAGCAAGATAATGATGCCCAGCCTAGTCCCAGGCTCTCTCTATTCGCTGCTTTGATATATTTAAGTGAGTCTTAAAAATTTTATGCCTGGGTGTGCTGTGTGGAACACTTCAGCGAGACAGCCTAGCAGATTTCGGTAAAATGGTCCCTGATTTCAAAAAAGTGGTCCCTGGCCTGGTTACGAAGTATACCGCATTTGTAAATGGAAAATGTTATGGAAATTTCCTTTGCGTTTATAATTAAGTCATTAGTTCTGCTCTAATGCTGTCGGAACAATGAAATAGGCTTTAAATGATATCTAGAAGCTTGAAAATTATGCAGAGTCTCCGACTAAAAATGTTTTGACAACACAGTCATGTCGGGAAATATTTCCAATCTCCTCAGCTACTTAAAACTGTCAACTAGAAAGCGTAGTTGTGTATACCAGTATCATGGTCTAGTGTTGATCACAACTTGCAAGTAGATAAATATCATCAACGATTATACGACCATTGCTCAGACTCAGTATCGTAAATTTGTATATATGTTTCAATTGAGCACATTTTTAATACAGTTTGAATTTGGTTATGTAGACATCGAACATGATCAACGAACATTGTCATATTTATACAAGGTTATTTGTATATATAAATTTTCCGCCATATTAAAAATACTGAAATCTGCTAGGCATTCTGAAGCACCTTTAGCGGTGACGTCACACCTAGGTCCCAGTCTCGTACTACATCCACGTTTTTTCTCGCGCTTGCTTCAGAACGACTGGGACTAGGCTGAATGATGCCATGGGGCCCCCAGAGAAGACTTGCGCCGGGCCCCGCTAATTCTCTCAGTGGTCCTGCATATATGTGTAAGCATTGTCAATATGTGAGATAAATATACTTAATATCTATTTCATTCATATGAATCTGATTCTAGTTATAAGTGATTACCTGTTTTCCACAACCACCTTCAATTAAAAGAACTGTGTTTATCCGTTGAAAAAGACTCAGTTCATGCCGTCGCATATTCATAAGAATGGAGTAAATGAAGCAATAGTTAACCTTCACTTCTTCAGTTGTGTTGTCAATGTCAACTGGATTTCCTGTTGTGGCATTCATCAAGTCGATAAGAAAAGGTTGAGTTATTTTCATTTCCAGCCATAGTTTATTGATATTGAAATCATCCATGGCTTCAAACTGTTCACCACTTGAATATAACACAGAAGATCTAGTTTGTCTTCTGCAGACTTTTTCACAAGAAGTATTACATCCATTCAAAATATTTCTTTTTATTGCCATTTCAACAGAGGGACATTCTTTTGTTATGATGTGTGCCACCGCAGACGGTGTCTTTTTTCTTGTTGCTCGTTCAAGTTTTGCTTGTTGACTAGATGTCAATGGTGTTGTGACATATGCATGGTAACTGGATACATATACAGATGTTAACCTAGCAACTGGTACTTCTGATGGTGTGTTCGATTTCAATGGGCATCTTGGTACAATGATCTGTACAGAGACATATTGCACTTGCGATGGTACTGATGCATTCTCAACATTTATATTAATTTGAGTTCTACATTGACTAGTGACTGATGGTGCAGACGATGATGACTCATCACTTGCTGGTTTGACTGGACAAAATCCAAGCTTCTTTTGTGAATTTACAAACATCAGATTCTGACAAAATACATGTACGTTTTGCAGGCTGTTTATATGGTGGTGATGTAACATTTCCTCGTTTCATACCATAGGTGTTGTGTTAGTGTCACTTGAGATGA